GTGTCTGTCCACCTCAACGTACAACAATACAGGGTTATTCCTACTTGGAGTCCAGCTCGTTAGCTTGGCACTTCGGATTACCAACACTTAGGCAAGTGAGTAGCCCGTGCATAGACAGGTCGGGTATATACCCTACAGTGTCCGTCCACCTAGGCGTACAACAATACAAGGTTATTCCTACTTGGAGTCTAGCTCGTTAGCTCGACAGTTCGTGATAACCAATCAAAACCCGCGAGCTCATAATGGTCGTGAACCCAAGGGTATTAACCCAAAGGAATGCTAAAGACGAGAGTATCGGGGAGACGGTAACGAGATATTAAGGACAGCAATCTATCCGATGTCATCGTGGAAGGGCCAAAGTTGTCCGGATCCCGACCTCAAGTAGAAGACGAGACCCCCTCTCTGGAGGTCGGCCGCTCTGCTTAAGGTTCGGGTTCCTCAAACTTCTCCTAAAAGGTTCAAAGAGAAGCTCTCTAAAGAAGAGCTAGCCTCACCAGCAGAAGCTGAGGACCGCATCTCGACACCCCCGGGCTCACTAGAATCACTAAGTAACCTATCTATGCTAGCACTAGGCATATTGGACAGAAAAAAGGAAAAGGGGACAACCAGTGCAAGAAGACGGACTCACCAAAGAAGGCGGTAATGATCTCGGACACAAAGGGAGAAAATGGCAAGCTGAAGGACTCCGACACGATCTCAATAAAGCTCAATTACACGATTTATGGTGAGGATAATGGGCCCTTCGAACCCTATTTATAATCCACCACATATGGAAATCGACGGTTGAGATCTATGCGATCCGACGACTCCCATGAAAACCGGTTACACGCTACCTGAGGACGAAATCGGTTGAGCGTGCCCTTTGACATCCGTGGAATTTATAAACGGTGTGACGTCCGCGCGTAGCCAAGACGTGATCTGGGTCATTTCCTGGTTGAGCCGAATGATTGAACCGGTCCGACCAACGGTCCGCCCTCCATGTCACCTAGATTTCGTGCCAAATCCACTTAGGCTCGTTATGAACTCCTTGTGTCAGGTCAGGACCTTTGGCACAAGGAGTGGGGGGCAATTGATGAAGCGTGATTTGGCACAACCTAGTAAGTAGAGGTCACATGGACGCAATTTGCTCGAAGGATGACAACTCAATGAAAAGAGTCCAGTCAGCAACAGTTAGAGCTTGGGTATTCGGTCACCTCGGCCCAAAACCACCTCGGCATAAAGGCACCTTGGCACCCAATTTAGTTCAAAGCCAAAGAACCAAAGTGCTAGTTTGGGGCTAAAGAACCGAAGTGCCACGTAATCGACTCCAGAAGCTTCCCCAACGGACTCCAAATTTCCCGGGATCATGACATCTAATAACATGGCTCATCCTCACTCTGCCTGAATCAGAGGAAAGTGATAAACCTTATCAACTGACGCATTGCTCTCCTTCAAAAACGGGACAGATCTTATCTATGCAACCTGGAGATCCCGGAGCTTTTTCGTAAGATTCACAACTACCCCAATATATAAGGGCATGAACCTCAAGGTGAAGGTACGCGCGATTATTTGCTCATTAGCACTGTAGCACTTAAGTGTTCAACTCACATTCATAATATAGTACTGACTTAAAAATCGGAGTGACCTCGCTGGATTAACCACCCCGAGGTCTCTAATCCTTTATCTTGCAGCTTGCTCCAGCTTGCCACGCGACTAGGGTCCAAGTCATCTTCCAACTAGAAGTATCCAGATCGCACACGATTAGGTAGTAACCATCTAGGAAATATGGAAATGGATGACTTGAATTTTATTGACACCATAACCAATTGCAGCAATTTACAGGTGTTGGGCTTTGAAGAAAATTGTCTTGGAGGCATGTTGCCAAAGTCTGTGGCTAACCTCTCGACCCAACTTACAGCGTTAACTTTGGGATTGAGAACCTCGTGTCTTGGAGGCAGTAGGGATTGAGAACCTCGTGAACTTGAATGTTCTTGGATTAGAGATAAATGAATTGACAGGAACCATTCCCACTTCCATGGGAAAGTTTCAAAAGCTGTACGATCTAACATTAGCTATAAATAGATTAGCAGGGCGGATCCCTTCATCTTTGGGAAACTTAACACATCTTTGAATACACTTTGTTTACAGGTGAACAACTTAACAGGTAGCATACCTCCATCTCTTGGAAATTGCAGAAAGTTGTTTCTATTCCAACTTTCTGGTAATAGTCTTAGTGGTGTCATACCAAGAGAAATCTTTGGTATCTCCTCCCTTACTTTGGCTCTTGATTTAGCCCAAAATCATTTAGTAGGTTCCCTACCTCAGGAAATAGGTCAGTTGAGAAATCTTGAACAATTAGATGTTTCAGAGAACAAGTTGTCTGGCGGAAATTCCGTCTAGTCTTAGTAGTTGTGCGAGTATGGAAAACCTTGTTTCAAAGGGAAACTTGTTCAATGGCTCAATTCCTTCATTTTAGTTCCTTAAGAGGTCTTATAAATGTGGATCTTTCGCAGGATAACCTTTCTTGCCCAATCCCACAATATTTTCAGCAATTCCACTCATTACAGAGTTTGAATCTTTCCTTCAACAGCCTTGAAGGTGAGGTACCAATAGATGTAGTTTTTCAAAATGCTAGCATTGTTTTTGTTGCAGGGAACAGTAATCTCTGTGGGGGTATTCCTCGGTTGCAATTGTCGCCATGTCCCATTAAGGAGTTGAAGGAAAAAGAAATGTCTCGTCATAAGAAGCTAATAATCGCTGCCTGTAGTAGTGGTGCTTTTGTATGCATTTCTTCTGTCATGGCTTTTGTTATTCTCTACTGGAGAAGAATGCAAAGAAAAGAAGAACCTTCTTCTGCATTGTCATTTGATGATCTCTTATGAAGCACTTATGAAAGCAACTGGAGGATTTTGTTCAGTTAAGCTTGCTTACGGGTAGTTTGGCTTTGTATACAAAGGAATTCTGGACAAAGGTGAAAACAAAGGAAAATGGGAAGAAGAAAGGGGAAGGGGAAGAAGAGAGATCGGGGGAAGGAGAGAGAGGGAGGACTTTGAAAATCTGCCGCCGCTGCAACAGCTACTACAGCTGCTGTTTGTGTATCGTGAGGTTGGAAAAGATGAACAATGTTTTTTTTCCAATTATCCGAATTGTTGACGAAAAGTTAACGAAAGGGGATCTTTATCTCTCGATCGGTAATATAGAAGGATTTTTGTCGCAAAACAAAATACAGGGGTCTTTGTAAGACGCATAGTACAGGGAGTTTTGTAATTTACCCGAAAATTTATGATCCTGTTAGACACGGCACATCATTGTACGTACCTTGCCGACCTACAGTCACGATAAGGAAGAGAAGGTGCCGTGTCCGTTTTTCATGTAGACGTAGTTCTGACCCAATCCAACCCGAGGTTGACGTGGCGTCTTACTTTTCTTCAGTTTTTTTTTTTATGGAATACTCTTCTTAAGTTTTGAGTTTTCTCAACCATCGCACTCATTATTGCGCAAATTTCTCTCTCAATTGCCCTCGAGAAAACAAAAAGAAGCCTCTTAGGAGAAGATTTTTGTAGGAGAGTCAATCCCTTAGACCATTCAGATTGTGACGCATGGCAAGCACATTTTAATCTTGTAAAACATTATAAACGGGTCTCCGACTCTCTTGTAAAAAAACGGTTGCTTCATGTATCAGTAGATGGATCCTGAAATCATCGAAGGTCCGAATCGTCAACGATAGCGCAACGCGACATGTGTCCCGCGTCCCGAGTCCTGAGTCAGCGGGAGCCGGCGGAGCGGTGACGGGTGAGTGGACGGTAGAAGTAGTGGGCATTAGGGCTGCTAAGTTATCCGAATTCGGATTTGAATTCAATAGCATTAAGGGGTGATCCGAATTCGATCTTTCTTTTAATAATTGAATCAAATATGCACTCCGACCCAATCGATATAATTCAATTTCATTCGATTAAAATATATATGTATATATAATTTAAAATTTATATTATATTAATTATTAAAATTGGTTTGAATATTTTATTAATGAATATACTATTTTGATCTTTGATTTTTTATATTACTAGTAAATGTATATTTGCATTGTATCTTTAAGATAAAATTATTTATAAATTATGGACAGTTTTTGAATGATTATATAAGTGAATAGTTTCTTAACATTATAAGTGGATAATTTCTAAACACTTATAATTTCTAAAGTGAGAATAAAAGACATATATGTCCTTTTTTATATCCACTGTATACTTAAATAAGAAGACAGAAAACATCCAGTAAAATTCTAAAAAAAATAGGCATTCACTCTTTTATAGATAGCATAAAAGTATAAATAGTATAGATTTAATATCATATTATAATCCGAATTCTAAATGAATAAAATCTGGATGTGTTAAATCTGATTTGACCCGATCCGTTATCTAGCATGGAATATAGCTCATAAGTAGACCTGGCAATTGGGTTGGGTGGGTCGGGTTCGGGTTGGGTCAGTATACTTCGAGTTGAATTTCATGTTGGGTCGTTAAAATGCTAGACCCTAACCTTAAATATTCGGGTTAGGATTGATCCATGAGTCAATTTGGGTCATCTCAAAAAATATTTGAAATTTAAAAAATAAAGAAAAATTGTAAAATTAAAAGAATTAACCTTAAAATTCCAAATATAAAATAAAAACTTGAACATTTAACAATTTAAAGAGTAAAAAATAAAAAGTAGAGACTAAATAGAAAAAATTAAATAGTGAAAACTTCTAACAATACATAAGATTCGGGTCAACGGGTTGATCCATGACCCAACCTAATCCAGTTTTCTAAGAGTTGGATCGATCAGGTCATTTTCACATTCGAGTAGTTAAATATGAGACCCTAACCCTATTTTTTTAGGTTGAATTGGGTCGGGTTCGCGGGTTGGATCAACTTTTTGCCAGGTCTACTAATAAGTTACCTCATGTTAGAAAAGTGCACGTTGTGGAAAACAAAAAACGCGGGACCACGAAAACGCAACCCAAAAAGGTTGGAAACAGTGCTATTTTGATAACGAGGCAACCAACGGCACTCCCTTCTCCCTTCTCTCTCCCGTTCTGGCTTCGCTCACTTGCATCGAAATTTCCAGCCAGTTGCTCTCTCTCTCTCTCTCTCATTGTCCCCCTTCTCTCTCTCATCACCTCTATAAGCAGAAAACATTCCTTTTTTTTTTATTGAAAGGTTCCAAACAATTGGGGGTCTCAACTTTTTCGTCACGAAAATTTTCAAGTTGTAAGGTGAATTGTTGATTTGGTTTTCTTTCTTCAATACTTCATCTAATTCTGTGAGGAAAGATATCGAGTTTAGTTTCTTTACGGGACCAATTCTCGAGTTCTTTTTTTTAATTGCATTTAAGGAAGTGAAAATTGATTTGATTAATGGAGTTTTTTGTTTTTTTTTTATTGGATGACTTGATGTTTTCCCTTTTAGGGGTACGCATTAATGAAAAAGTTGCGTTGTTTTTTTTAAGCCTTGATGAACTCTAAAGCAACAGTGTTTGATTAGTTAATTAATGCTGCAAATTTAGGGTTCCGGTTCAGATGATGGGTTTGTTGCCTTTCCTTGATGCCCATTTTTCGGTTTGAAGTTCACTTCTATTATTTTTCCCTCGGTCAAATTTGCTTAAGCTTATGAATTTACTTCACGATTGGAGCTTATTACCTTGACTTACTCTTTTTTTTTTTTTTTTAATCACGAAGGACATACTTACCTGACTTAGGCCAGGCTTAGTTGTTTTTGGGAAGAAAATTAGGAAACCGAAGTGAAGGAAACCTACAATTGTGAAGTCGCGCGGCTTTTGCTTAGTTCTGTTTTGATGGATTTCATATGCTTGATTGCCAACCTACCCGCTTTGAACTCATTGATATTGCTGACCTATGACACTGATGGATGGCCGTTTTGTTTGGTTGTTTTTGGTATCTTCCTGTTTAGAACAAATGCCTTTGTTGGTTCAAGTAAAAAGTTGGTTTACATAGAAGCTTATGGAGACGTAGGTTTGGACTTAATCCCATACATTCCTGTTGCTCTGTAGGTACAACTATGAACCTTGATTTTTCTCTGCCCTGCATGCTGGTTTGTGTCCCAATTCCTTGGGCATAAATTGGATAATTTCTTTCTTTATTGTTGTTGTTATTGTTATTATGATATACAACCTTATTTACAACAAAATGGTGTGATTCATGGGGTAACTTTTCCTCTTCAATATCCTACTTATGGATATTCTAGACATGGTGCTCTTCAACTAATTTCAACAATCCTTTGCTACAAGCTGACAATTTCGGTTACTTTGACAGGTTTTGGGCTTTTGGAGCTACTTGGTGCAACAATATCAAATCTACACGGTCTTTGAGCTCCTTGTTAAAATACTTATTTAGAGGCTAGGGATCAGATGAAATTGGGGTAGCTTAATGATTTTATGCTAATAACTAAATATCCAAACTCTGCCTGATGATGGTGATTGCTGGTTCTTTGCAATTGTCCAATGAATTGGGACTTTGCAAGAGCCATGGATGTGGTAATCGAATTAAGGTAGATGTCTTTGTACTTCTTGAATTTTATCATGTTGCTTAATATTTATTTTTCATATTTCTGCATGAACTCATTATATATTGATTTTTTTGTTCATTTTCTCCCCAGACCGTGGTGGGTGGTGGCAGATTACATTTATTAAGTATTTCCCTTTCATCGTACTCTTCAGTATGGTCCTCTTCCTCTTTGTTGATGGTTTTTATATCTCATCTTATGTGACTGCCAGCATGTTAAGTTCCATTTTCCTCTGTTTTCTGCCTCAAGGTTCACCAAGTATATTGTTTCTATATTTTTCTAGGACTGGACCACTTAAAAGCTTTACATTTTATAGCATCAGAGATGTATTGTAGAGTTTGAGAGCTTGAATTATAATTTATATTCTAATTAGGGGTTATTTTTCATCAATTTGATGTAGTTTCTAAAGTTGCTTTTTGCCCCATAGTCTTTTTTTTGCTCTACAGCTTTTTGCCCCATAGTTGTGCATTTGTAGGTATTCATACTAATATAGATTTCATGTTCAACTTGAAGACTGTTTTCTTGGGAAAGGGGCAGTACGATCTCAAAATAGTGAGAGGAGAAGGAGAAGAGAGAAGAGAGAAAGGAGAAAAAGATTGGAGAGGAAGAAAGTCAGCTTGCAAAGGTGCCCCTGCAGCACTAAATTGAAATAAACTAAGTTATTCAACACTCCCCCTCAAGTTTGGACATAGATGTCAATCATGCCCAACTTGTCACAGAAGTCATTGTGCCGCGAGTGATGCAAGCCTTTTGTAAATATATCTACAAGTTGCTCCTTAGAACTAACATATGGGGTGCACACTTCCCATTAACAATTTTTTCTCTAATAAAATGTTTGTGAACCTCTATATGTTTAGTTCTATCATGAAGAACTGGGTTGGCTGCAATATTGATGGCAGCCTTGTTATTACAATACAAGGACATAGGGCTATCAACAGGAAAACCCAATTTGCTCAACAATTTTTTTATCCACATAGCTTCAACAACTCCATGGGACACTGCTCTATACTTAGCTTTAGCACTAGACCTAGCCACCACACTTTGTTTCTTGCTTCTCCATGTGACTAGATTTCCTCCTACAGAGGAACAATACCCACTAGTGGATTTATAAACCTACTCCTGAAAACTTCTTTAGATATCTGAGGATTTTCTTTGCTGCCTCTAAGTGTGTGGTCTTAGGAGCATGCATGAACTGACTAAGAAGACCCACTGCATAAGAAATATTTGACCTGGTCATGGACAAATACAGGAACTTTCCCACAACTCTCTGGAATTGTTTTACATCACTGACAACTTCGCTACAATTGTCACCCAATCTGTGATTGGGATCAATGGGAGAGCCAGTTGGCTTAACCCCTAATTTTCCCGAATCCTGTAACAAATCTAGGATGTATTTCCTTTGAGAAATGAAAATTCCCTTTTATGAGTGGGCCACTTCAATTCCAAGGAAATACCGAAGGGGACTTAGATCCTTCACCTTAAACTGAGTGGCTAAGAAATCCTTTAGCCTCTGAATTTCAACCTTCTAGTCACTTGTGATCACTATGTCATCAACATACACTATCAAGGTTGCAATCTTTCTTTCCCCTCTTTTCACAAATAGAGTATGGTCAGTCTGACACTGTTTGTAATCTATTGTATAGCTAGATGAAACTTGTTGAACCAGGCTCTTGGTGATTGTTTTAGACCATACAAAGACTTCTTTAGCCTGCATACCTTCTGCTCTTTGCCTAGGGCACTAAAGCCAGGAGGTTGTACCATGTACACCTCTTCCTCAAGGTCTCCAGTCAGGAAGGCATTTTTAATGTCTAGCTGAAGAAGATCCCAATCAAGATTTTCCACAAGGGGGAAAAGAACTCTAATGGAGTTCATCTTGACTATTGGAGCAAAAGGCTCTGCATAATGTACACCATATACCTGGGTAAACCCTTTTTCCACCAACCTAGCCTTGTACCTTTCTATTTTGCCATCGGCCTTGTGCTTCACTGTGAACACCCACTTGCACCCTACTGGTTCTTTACCTTTAGGAAGATCCAATAACTCCCACGTACCATTTTTATGTAGGGCATTTATCTCTTCTTTCATTGCATCTGTCCATTCAGGTACTAAGATAGCTTCTGCCACATTTTTAGGGATAGGGACACTGTTAATGGAAGAAATGAAAGCACGAAAAGAGGGTGAGATGTTCTCATAGGAAACAAAATGGGAAATAGGATACTTAGTGGTACAAGACCTAACTCCCTTCCTTTTTGCAATGGGAATGTCTAGGTCATCAACAAATGAAGTATCAATAGCAAGAGGATCAAAAACATCAACAGGAATGATAGTACCTGGTTGGATATGATTTGTCCCCAGTGAATTTGATGATGTTGGCAGTATAGTTTCAAGTTGCTCCACAACTCTTGAATTTAGTTGGCCCTTGTGATGACGAAAAACACTGAATGGAGGGGGGGGTCAGGTAGAGGAGGGAGAACTTGAACTGGTTTCTCCTTCACCTTACTCTCCCCTTGAGGAGAAACCGGGAAAAAATGAATACTTTCAAAGAAAGACACATCTATAAAGACATAGTATTCCTTGGAAACGAGGTCAAAGCATCGATAACCTTTTTGGGAAGAAGGATAACCCAAGAATACACAAGGAATGGTACGGGAATCAAGTTTACCACAAGTAGGAGATAGGTCTTGGACAAAACAACGACAACCAAACACACGGATAGGAATAGAGAAGAGGGGAGCCTTGGGAGAAAGAAGTTTGGGGGGCCTTGTACCTTAGCAAGCGAGATGGCATACGGTTGATGAGATAGGCGGCACACAACACAATATCCAACCAAAAACATTTAGGAACATTCATGTGTAACCCACGAGCAACTTCAAGGAGATGACAATTTTTTCTTTCAGCAACACTATTCTGTTGGGGGATTCTAGCACAAGAGATGCGATGTATGGATCCACACGAAGCGAAAAACTCCATGAGATCACTATGAGAATATTCTTTGGCATTGTTTGATTGGAAAATTTGGATTTTCATTTGAAACTGAGTGAATATCAAGTGCTAGAAATCTTTAATGATTTTTGATACTTCATCTCTGGATCGCATAGGATACACCCATGTATATCGGGAGTAGTCATCAAGAAGTGTAATGAAATACTTATAGCCAGACTCGGATGTTAAAGAATAGGGCTCCAGACATCAGAATAAACAATATGGAAAGGAAATTCAGATTTATTATTTCCTGAAGTAAAATGATTTCTACAATGTTTGCTTAATTGACAAGTTTGACATGTGAAATCCGACACTAACACTGATTTAAATAATGGTAACAAAACTTTCATTGATTCAATAGATAAATGACCCAAACGACTGTGCTATAAATGGACTTGACTCTTACTAGACAGACTTTTAGACAAAATAGCCGCAAGACTAGTTTTATTCTCCAGCATGTAATGACCATCTACCATACGACCTCTAGCAATCATCTTCCCCAAGGCCAAGTCTTGTATCATACAAGAGGAAGGAAAAAAGGTTATTGAGTAGTTTAACGAATTTGTCATACTACTAACAGAGAACAAATTTATGGGCAGTTTAGGAACATGTAGAACATTAGAAAGGGTGAGTCCAAGAGGAAGGGAGATGGTTCCTTGACCAGCTATGGTGGAGAAAGAACCATCAACAAGTCTCACCTTATCCCGACCAGATAATAGATGATAAGATTGAAAACAATTAGACTTAACCGTCATATGGTTCGAGGCTCCATAATCTATTATCCAAGGAGAGTATGGGGGACGAGAGGACACATAGAAAGCTGTGGCAGAATTACCGTTACCTGATGTAGATGCAAAGGAAGTTGAGGGGGGAGAAGCAGAATCCATCTGGTGGATTGCCCTCCCATACAACTCCAAATGGTTACAGAAAGAATTAATGATATCTTCCTTGGGATTAGTCATGGGAGGACTCATAGTAGTGGCAAATGATTGAGGCTCTTGAGAGGCTAAGTTTGCTGCATTAAACTTCCTCTAACCTTGTTGTTCTTGCTTCTTATTTTTTGTCTGACTTTTTATTGAGCTCCTGAGCCCACTTTGGCTCCCCATGAAACTCCCAACATGTCTCTCGAGTATGTCTAGATTTCTGACAATGTGTATACCATAGTTTATCTTTGTCATCAACTTTCTTTGGGAAGTCGCTCTTCTTGAAGGAATGACCACCACCTGTACCAACACTCCCTTTAGCTACTAATGCAATCTGCTCTCCCTTAGGATTATTCATCACATTTCGTCTGCTTTCTTCTGACTGTACTAGAGCATATACTTCTTGCATTGATGGGAGATCTTTACTCCCCAATATCTGAACCCTGATAGATTCATATGTGGAATTTAACCCTCAGAGGAAGGCAAACACTCGTTGCTGGGAAACCAGAGACTTGTATGCTTTGGCATCTGCATCACATTTCCAGTCTATATTCTCATAGTGATCTAGTTCCTTCCAAATAGAAGTCATCTAAATAGTAGACGGAGAGACTTCTCTCTCCCTGCTTACAAGTTGAGGAGGAAACCTGGAACTGATATATTTTGGCATAATGCCGTTGTTTTGAAAATGTAGACTTAGCCTGCTCCAATATCTCATAAGCTGTTTCTGCCCACATGAAGGTAATTCTCACTTGTGGCAGCATAGACAATAACAGCCATGACATCACCATGCTGTTTTCCTGGTCCCACCTATCTTGTTTCACACTTCCAAATTGGGGTTCTCTAATTCTACCATTGATATACCCCACTTTCCCCCTTGTAGTTATGTAGAGCTTGATTCCCCTTGACCATTCTAGGTAATTGCATGGTTTCAAATGTCGCCAAATGTCGCCCAACATATGTCGGTGTCGAGGCTCACCGACATGAAAATGGATGGTAATACAAAAATTACATTATTTCAGTTGTCATTTCCTATATTTTGGAAATGTCGACCAAATCGGTCCAAATAACCAAAAAAAGACAGTTTTTCCTATTATGTTGACAGGATGTCAACTAGTGTACATTAATAATATAATATATTAGTATATTATATTAATATGATACAGTATATTAATATAAATTGTTTCATTAATAATTTTTATTTAATATTTCAAATAAAATATTTATAAAAAAGAATTAACAAAATATAAAAACAAAAGAATAAATTAATTACTTTATAATATAAAACGTAAAATATTAATTAGTTAGTATTTTTTAAAATATTTATTAAATTTTATAATAAATCATATTCTACATTTAATATAAAAATCAGAATAAATTTATTAAATTTTATACTAAATAAAAATTTATTATAAATTTAGTATTAAAAATCATAATAAATTCATTAAGTTTTATA